CATTGCTAGTTAACCGTAGTTAACCGATCACAAATTAAGATTCCATCAACTCTGATTAAAGCTAACAGATGATTAAAGTGATATGAAAGGTGCTGAGAAATTTAATCGACGTCGATAAAATACAATTCATTCATTCCCTTCTAGGTGGTAACGACATTCTGAATACTCAAGTGGTAATATAAGTCGGCGTGTCATGTTACCGACGTTTATATCTATATTGAAGTCTGTTGCACTCTACGCTGAGAATTATACGAAATGAAACGTTCTATGGATCATTTCGGTAAAGTAATAATATAATGATCTATGTAAAACTGTTAAAATCCCGTGAAATCATGATTTTTGATACCGTAATGGACCAGTGGTGCCATCTGTGACGTTTAGCTGCACTACATTTTTGCTCTAAAATCATTTGTTACCCACAGGACGAGCCAGCACTCTCTTGCAATCGGTGGAGAAAGTATTTTCCACATTTTCCCATCTGACACGGTAATATTCCAGTTTTATAATATTCTAACTGACTTGCGCTAAACCCTGAAACTCCTCATTTTCGATTCTAAGGTGACATGAAAGAATCAGCCTATATATATACATATATATATATGATAGGTAAAATCGTTCGTGAAAATATTGTCCAAATTCAGTGTACCGATTCGTTTCAAATATTACCACGTGAATGTAGAGGCCCTGAGGTAGGCCCTGAAACTCATGAAATTTTTTTTTTTACCAAAATTATTTATTTATCATGAACTAGAACAGACATGGCGTGATCGAGGAATGTTTTCGATGTTTTACGCTTCTTGAAGGCATAGAATCGAAAATGAAGAATTTCAGGACTTACAATTAGCTCGAACAATGTAGAATATCTTGGAATTAAATATTGCAGAGTCAGATGGAAAAATATGGAAAATACTTTCACGAACGATTGCAAGAGAATACTGGCTTGTTTGAGGGCTAACGCGTGTTTTTAGAGGGAAAATTTAGTTCCAGCTAAACGTCACAGATGGCGACGCTGGTTCGTCAAAATATAAACAGTCATGAGACCATGGGATTTCGGCAGTTCTAAATCGATCTTGTTTATCATTACTTTACCGAAGTGACATATAGAACCCTTCACTTCGTATAATTCTCAACGTAGGCTGTACATAATTTTAACATAAATATAAATGTCGGTAACGTGATGCGTCGGCTTATGTTAACCACTTGAGTATCCAAAATGGCGTTACCATCAAAAAAGGTATGAATGCATTTCATTTTATCGACGTCGATTACATTTATCAGCGCCTTTCTTACACCCTGAAGGTGATATGAAAGGGTCATTCTATACATATAAAACGTCAAAATATTTATAAAACTTTTCTACAAACCGGTGCACCGGTGTTCATCAAATCATTTGAAACTTCAGCAGGTGACTATGAAGGCCCCATGGAAGAACGCGATGTTCGTAAAATTTCATTTTTCACAAAGAATGTAACCTTGGTTCTAGTCTAGGCTAAATAGAAAGCAATTCGTTTGGAGAAATGAAATTCAACGGGCATCGCGTCCTCTCTTAGGACCTTTATAATCACGTGCTGAAGTTTCAAAGGATTTGATGCCCCAATTTGGAGAAAAGTTTGATAAATATTCTTTAGTTTTTAGAATGACCCTTTCGTATCACCTTAACAAGTCATAACAATTATCATCAGGAATCAAACAACAAGAGTCACAAGAATTAATTCCCCTGTATATTTTGATTAAATATATGTTTTTTATATTTTATGTCAACGTGTAACGTTATTTTTATTTATTATCAAGTAATTATATGTACGTTGGGAACAGTAGTACGAGTAAAGTTGACTCCAGTTATCTACATTGTCGAAAAACGCGTTCGATAAAATGTGCACTCTACGCCGAGAAGTATACGAAATGAGGCCTTTCAACCGTAATTTCGGTAAAGTAATAATTAAGAGATCGATGTAAAACTGTCGAAATCCCTCGGATTCATGATTTTTGCTGCTCCAATGGACCAAACGGCGCCATCTGCGACGTTTAACCGCAACTAAATGTTTGCCCGAAAAATTCGCGTTACCCACAGAACAAGCCAGTACTCTCTTGCAGTCGTTGATGAAAGTAATTTTCATATTTTCCCACGTGACTCCGTAATATTCCATTTCTATACTATTATAAATTGTTCGAGCTAGGTTCTGAAACTTATTTTCGATTCTAAGCCTTCGAGAAGCGTAAAACATCGAAAACGGACCCGGACCACGGCATATAGGTTCTAGTCCATGATAAATAAATAAATTTTTTTATAAAAAAATGAAATTTCACGAGGTTGTGGACCTACCTCGTGGCCTCTATATTCGCGTGGTAAGGTTTCAAATGAACGGGTACATCTAATTCGGAGAATACTTTCGCGAACAATTTGACCTCTCGGATACATTTAGGCTGACTTTTTTATATCACCTTAAGGTGAAGTGAAACCCCCTAATAATACGTTACTGAATTAACGGTGCTAGATGACATGGAGAGACACGAGGAAAGGTAAACAGAATTTGAAATAAGAAAGAAATACAACACCTAGATCGCTGCAGAGAGTGTTCCAATTAAAATTTAGCGTTAGATTATGGATTAGTTCTAACAGTTCCGTATTTAATTAATGAAATCGCGGTCCTAATTGTTGACAAATGATCGCTATGTTTCGGTGATGGTCGAATGATTCAACAATATGATTCAGGTGTTATTAGCGATAGGAAGTGGCTTGTCGTCGTAGATACAGGTTGCTCTCGTGGTTGTCACATCCCGGGGGTTCCGATAATGCGCTCAGTCACTTGTTTGTGCAACATTCTTATATAAGACTCGAGGCGTCGTATCTCCGATACTCGGCTAGATTCAGTTCAGTTGTACAAGTGACGGCGAAGCAGCCTTCTCACGGCAAGACATGGCAAGGCCTCGAGTTCTCGTTACCAGCAATGACACCCCACAACCTGGAATAGATTTGCTTAAAACCAAGTAAGTTTTTCGAGAAAATGTGAAGAATAAGGGGGTATGAGAACGTAATTACGGTAATTCAAGTACCAACATGGGCGTCCTTAACACATCTTTTCCAATTCTTAGGTCGGATGCGTCAATTGTTATTAGTACATTGCTAGTTAACCGTAGTTAACCGATCACAAATTAAGATTCCATCAACTCTGATTAAAGCTAACAGATGATTAAAGTGATATGAAAGGTGCTGAGAAATTTAATCGACGTCGATAAAATACAATTCATTCATTCCCTTCTAGGTGGTAACGACATTCTGAATACTCAAGTGGTAATATAAGTCGGCGTGTCATGTTACCGACGTTTATATCTATATTGAAGTCTGTTGCACTCTACGCTGAGAATTATACGAAATGAAACGTTCTATGGATCATTTCGGTAAAGTAATAATATAATGATCTATGTAAAACTGTTAAAATCCCGTGAAATCATGATTTTTGATACCGTAATGGACCAGTGGTGCCATCTGTGACGTTTAGCTGCACTACATTTTTGCTCTAAAATCATTTGTTACCCACAGGACGAGCCAGCACTCTCTTGCAATCGGTGGAGAAAGTATTTTCCACATTTTCCCATCTGACACGGTAATATTCCAGTTTTATAATATTCTAACTGACTTGCGCTAAACCCTGAAACTCCTCATTTTCGATTCTAAGGTGACATGAAAGAATCAGCCTATATATATACATATATATATATGATAGGTAAAATCGTTCGTGAAAATATTGTCCAAATTCAGTGTACCGATTCGTTTCAAATATTACCACGTGAATGTAGAGGCCCTGAGGTAGGCCCTGAAACTCATGAAATTTTTTTTTTTACCAAAATTATTTATTTATCATGAACTAGAACAGACATGGCGTGATCGAGGAATGTTTTCGATGTTTTACGCTTCTTGAAGGCATAGAATCGAAAATGAAGAATTTCAGGACTTACAATTAGCTCGAACAATGTAGAATATCTTGGAATTAAATATTGCAGAGTCAGATGGAAAAATATGGAAAATACTTTCACGAACGATTGCAAGAGAATACTGGCTTGTTTGAGGGCTAACGCGTGTTTTTAGAGGGAAAATTTAGTTCCAGCTAAACGTCACAGATGGCGACGCTGGTTCGTCAAAATATAAACAGTCATGAGACCATGGGATTTCGGCAGTTCTAAATCGATCTTGTTTATCATTACTTTACCGAAGTGACATATAGAACCCTTCACTTCGTATAATTCTCAACGTAGGCTGTACATAATTTTAACATAAATATAAATGTCGGTAACGTGATGCGTCGGCTTATGTTAACCACTTGAGTATCCAAAATGGCGTTACCATCAAAAAAGGTATGAATGCATTTCATTTTATCGACGTCGATTACATTTATCAGCGCCTTTCTTACACCCTGAAGGTGATATGAAAGGGTCATTCTATACATATAAAACGTCAAAATATTTATAAAACTTTTCTACAAACCGGTGCACCGGTGTTCATCAAATCATTTGAAACTTCAGCAGGTGACTATGAAGGCCCCATGGAAGAACGCGATGTTCGTAAAATTTCATTTTTCACAAAGAATGTAACCTTGGTTCTAGTCTAGGCTAAATAGAAAGCAATTCGTTTGGAGAAATGAAATTCAACGGGCATCGCGTCCTCTCTTAGGACCTTTATAATCACGTGCTGAAGTTTCAAAGGATTTGATGCCCCAATTTGGAGAAAAGTTTGATAAATATTCTTTAGTTTTTAGAATGACCCTTTCGTATCACCTTAACAAGTCATAACAATTATCATCAGGAATCAAACAACAAGAGTCACAAGAATTAATTCCCCTGTATATTTTGATTAAATATATGTTTTTTATATTTTATGTCAACGTGTAACGTTATTTTTATTTATTATCAAGTAATTATATATTATATAATATATAATATATTATTACTTGAAAGTTTTCGGAAGAATTACATTTAGATTCGTCATCTTAGGTGCGATGTTACGATCATACAAGAAGCCGTGCCATCTTCAGATGTAGTTTTACAAGCAATCCCTGGACACGATGCGATCTTTCTTTCCACCCACGCGAATATTAATACCAGGTTCCTCGATGTAGCAGGTAAAATAAATATTAAGTTAAATAAATATTGAGTTAATATATTTCCAGCAACAAATTCACGCGATTTGTTTTCGAGGTGACGACCCTAAAGCATATTCTATAGGTTTCAAAGGATGCACTATGCACTTACATCGATTTCTTTTACAATGCTTCTAAAGTAATGAGAAAGTGGCATGAAAGGGCTAAAATTGGTTATGAAACTTTTCTCCGAACTGGGTGTACCGAATCGTATGAAATTTTAGTATGTGAATATGAAAGCCCTAAGGAATGTCCTGAAACTCATGAAATTTCATTTCTTATAAAAAACTTGTTTATTTATCATGGACTAGAACCAGCATGACGTGTTCTACTTATATTTTTGATATTTTATATTTCATGAAGCCTTAAAACTAAAAATGAAGACTTTCAGTACTTTGCTACAACAATTTAGGATTCCATAGTAGCCGAATATTACCGAGTCAAGGGAAAAAATATGGAAAAAAGCTCTAACAGCAGAAAATATTTGTCTTATATTTTCTATATATTTAACGAATATCGTACATATTGTAAATATTTACCAGACATTTGAAATATTTGCAAAACCTTTACTTTAGAATATTGTTTTTCTGATATTTGTTTCATATTAGCTGCACCTGTTTTCGTCATATTTTTCTTATAGATATACAAAACCTTTCGTTTCATTATAATATAAGTATATTTTAAATAATATCTGCCGAATACATTGTAGATGTTTTAAAGATATTTCAAACCAAAATCACACGATTTGCTCCCATAAGGAAATAATGGAACAAAAATATTGCAACGGTTTGTCGTGTCATATATTTTTTTATAAAAAAAGGGAAATTTCATGAGTTTCAGGACCTACCTTAGGATCTCCATATTCCCTTGGTAAAATGAAATAAAAAAAAAAACTAGTCGTTACACCCAATTCAGAGAATACTGTCACGAACGATTTTACCTCTCGGATACACACACATTCTGACTTAATAATTCTGAATAATTGACTTGTCTCGAAGGACCGATTCTAAGAGTTGTGTCAACAATGTCTGCCGGCTACGACCACTTGGATGTGCCGGAAATCAAAAGGAGGGGAATAAAAGTTGGGCACACACCAAATGTGTTGACACATGCAGTTGCTGAAATTGCTGTCATGCTCACGTTAAATGCTGCAAGGCGTGCTCACGAAGGTCGTCTCAAACTGGAGGAGTAAGACGAATACGCCTAATTACACATATCGCATAAATAATATAATAAATGACGTTATTTTTCGGTCATTGTTTGTTCGTGACGTCACATGTCGAAGCCACACAGGACTATAAAGAGATACGACGTCGTGTGTTGAAGGCATCTCCACTTTGGAAGTCTAAGATTTTTTATTTTAACATTAATCTATTTCTATTCATTTTTTTTACACATTACGCTATACCATAAAAGAATAAGGTGAATGTTACGTTTAGGGGGCCAATCTTCGATGATCTTGACCTTGACATATATTATCAAGGTCACCCTCCTTAGTAACTTCCATGAGGTTTTAGCCATCTCTCGTTGTTCGTTCGTTTGCTTCTCGTTGTTTAAGGTGAAGTGAACCATCCTTCAAATCAATCGATTCGAATACAGCACTTTTTCTTAAGGGTATTAGACCAAATTGTCCGAAACTTTGACACATCACTCCTGATCATCTAAGAATTGTCCTGACACATTGAAAATTTGGATTTTTCAAAACAATTTTTTAACTCAATCCAGACCAGAACCAAAATGGCGTCGAGCTCTCATATTTCGATCGATATACAATTATCGAAGGCTCTGATATGAGAATCGAAAGGGTCAGGACAATTTTACGACAATTCAGAACACTCTGGTAATCGATAAACTTGCATTTGAACGGGATAGAGGCAAAAAAAGTGTTGTATGCGCTTCTATGCCAGAACGACGGTAATACGCGGTCTCGGAGTAAAAATTTAATTGACCTGGAAATCACAGATGGCGCAGGAGGTCCCTCCGCAGTCAATTAGGGTCCCAGAAAGCATGGATCCAGAGGATTTTTGGAGTTTTACTTCAATTTCTTTACAATTATTGTACGAAAACGAAAGGTGGAGTATGCCATTTGGTACAATACCCAATATAATTCGACACAGCTGTCAATATAAGAACGAACGTCGGCAACGTAGGCATTTAGAAAAATCTTCTTTATCGACGTCGATCAAGTTCCTCGACGTGTTTCACTTCACCTTAACCGGAGGTAAAGAATACCAAATCTCGCCCTATCTCGATGATATTTTCCACGTGTATTTATACGGAACTTTTCTAAAGATGAAGAAATGAAGTATATAGAATTAAAAGTGCAATTATGTGACACATAATGTACAACATTCAGGGGCAAGATGGAAAGAAGACCCCAATGGTTGTTGGGGTACGATTTACGAGGATCTACTATTGGCATCGTCGGTTTAGGAAATATCGGACAAGCTGTTGCTCACATGTTGAAAGCATTCAACGTCGGCCAGATTATCTATACTGGTCATTCTCGGAAAAAAGCTGGTTAATATATTTACAGTATAAAAAGTAATGTGTTTTAAGGTGATATGAAAGTGGCGCCAAAGAGGCTCATTTATGAAACTTCTCCGAGCTGGGTACACCGAATCGTTTCAAACTTTATAACGTGAATGTGGAGGTTTCAGGGAAGGTCCTGACCCCCATGGAATTTCAATTTTTGTAAAATTTCTTCAGAGGTATATTTAACATCTTTTATAAAAAATTAAATTTCATGAGTGCCAGGACCTTCCTTGTAGTCTCCGTGTTCGCAATGCGAAGTTTGAATCGATTTGGTCCACTCAGTTTGGAGAAAAGTTTCATGAACAATTGATTCCTCGGATGGCACTTTCGCATCGCCTTAACACGACCGAAATGTACAAGTCAATGTTTTGGTTGCGTTACAGGCGATGATTTGGGAGCATTTTTTGTCTCGCTTGATGAGCTTCTGGCGCAAAGTGACGTTGTAATCATTGCCGTGCCATTAACGAATGAAACTCTTGGCTTGTTTAATGACGACACTTTCGCTAAAATGAAGAAGAACGCCATTTTAGTAAACGTGGGACGCGGGAAAATCGTAAAAACGGATTCTCTCGTCAAGGCACTTCGGAACAAGACCATCTTTGCAGCAGGCCTCGATGTTACGGATCCAGAGCCCCTGCCTGTAGATCATGAACTCCTAAAATTACCCAATGCAGGTGACAACCTTTTAATATTAACCCAATAACGTTGATAACCATGAGAAGACGATATCGCGAATTATTGCCCGATGGCAAAATCCCTAGTAGCGCAGAATAATTTATATGTATTTTTTCTAATCTTTGCTAAATATCTCAAGCGACAGATATTTTAAAACGTCTCGTAGATTTTATATGAAGATACCTGAAATATTAATTGAAAATCTGAATTACTTATTCAGTTTTAATAATTTATAAACATGTATAACATTTTTTTTATTTATAAACATGCAATGATTTTTTTATTTATAAACATGCAGCATACAAATATGCACCAGAATACATTTTTTTACCTTATGATTATTATCGGACACTTCGTTTGGTCAATCGGTTCGGGACCCCACCGGTGTGATTCTAAGGATCCACTGATAACGACAAAATGTATGGAGTCGCCTACTCCCGATACTTCCCATCCGGCCCCGGAAATGAGTAACCTGGGCACAAGACCCAACGTAACCCTTACCGGACCTCGAAAACAATAGATGGATCCGATTTAGACGGGCGGGTCGATAAACGATCAGCCGAGGGATCACAAATGACGGACGACGTACGCGATATTTATAACGGAAGAGCTCCGATTAACGACCTTATAAAACGATATGATAAAATGACCACATAAGAATTTAGATTCAAAAGTCGGCACAAACATATTCGCGGTATTTACAAGATGGAAAGGATTTCATCCCTAGAAAGGTTTACTTATCATTTTGACTAGCCGGTTACGCCCTAACTGGACGATTAATTGACGATAAAATGACCACATAAGAATTTAGATTCAAAAGTCGGCAAAGACAAACATATTTGCGGTATTTACAAAATGGAAACGGTTTCATCCCTAGAAGGGTTTATTTACCATTTTGACTAGCCAGTTACGCCCTTACGGGACGATTAATTGACGATGAAGGGTTTACTTATCATTTTGACTAGCCGGTTACGCCCTTACAGAACGATTAATTAACGATAAAATGACCACATAAAAATTTAGATTCAAAAGTCGGCAAAGGCAAACGTATTCGCGGTATTTACAAGATGGAGACGATTTCATCCCTAGAAGGGTTTACTTATCATTTCGACTAGCCAGTTACGCCCTTACGGGACGATTAATTGACGATGAAGGGTTTACTTATCATTTTGACTAGCCGCTTACGCCCTAACTGGACGATTAATTGACGATAAAATGACCACATAAAAATTTAGATTCAAAAGTCGGCAAAGGCAAACATATTCGCGGTATTTACAAGATGGAAACGATTTCATCCCTAGAAGGGTTTACTTATCATTTTCACTAGCCGGTTACGCCCTTACGGGACGATTAATTGACGATGAAGGGTTTACTTATCATTTTGACTAGCCGCTTACGCCCTAACTGGACGATTAATTGACGATAAAATGACCACATAAAAATTTAGATTCAAAAGTCGGCAAAGACAAACGTATTCGCGGTATTTACAAGATGGAAAGGATTTCATCCCTAGAAGGGTTTACTTACCATTTTGACTAGCCGGTTACGCCCTTACGGGACGATTAATTCGGCTGTGCGGGATAGTGGTGGCGCTCCTCCTACTTGGTGTCCGGGAACTGTTTGGCTCCCGGCACCTGAAATCGGTAGCTGCGGCGATACCCGATGTTCCCTGAACAATGAGGAATTGATTCTAGGAAGATCCTCCTGACTCCTCACCGGACTCATCCCTACTCTCCTATGTCGGTGTCGTCGATAATTTAGAATACCGTCTA